GGCGCCGTGCACAGAGCTGCGGGCTGCGGGCTCTCCAGCAGCGCGTCGTCGCTCTCTGCTGCACCGGGATGAATTGAGATTGGCGCGTGTTAATTGTAACATTCTATCACAAGCCAAGCGTCGTTCACGAGGTGTTGCGTTTCACTCTTGTTGTGTGACTCATTAAAAGAAAAGAAAAATAAATCTGAACGGGGTTAAAGCGCGGTAACGTCACACGGTAACGTCTCAGCAGAACAAAGGAAATACGTTGAAAGCCTTATGCACACTTTAATTTACGACACACAATTATTTCACAGGGCAAGAGCGAAGTACATATTTTTAAACCTCTGGCAGTTATTTCTGTCTCTACGATTTAATGTCACGCTATTGATAGATAGCCTTTAAAAAATTAAAACCATGAGAAAGTAGAAATATCTGCGTGCTTAAACACAAATGTTCAACGATTTTCACGCCAGTGCTTGAGCTGAAACCTGTTTAATACCGAGGATATGTTCAGAGGAAGCACTAACAGCGGTGTTTATGCGTCTCGCCGCTGTTGTTATTTGTGCTATTCAGCACAGGCCTCCCCAAGTGGTAGAAATTTATGGACATTAGACATGGGCCTAACGAGGCAAACTAACACAGAGACAACTCCTCGGCCAAATGCATTGTGAACTTACAGCGCGTTTAAATCCCAATTTGTCCGGGCCAGTCGGTTTATTTCGTCTGCAGACCTCTTAGTATCCTTTCCGTGGCAGTTTCCCGGCCTTTATACGCTGCTAATTGGCGTGTTTATGATTGCAACACAACTCATAAAGCCTCTCACATTAGTCACACTCACACCGCTCATATTTACTAGACCAGAGCAGTGATGTATCACGGTCTCACCGTGCGGCCCCGAAGGAAGGCTATTGTTGTTTTACTTTATAAACTTCATCTTTTTTATGCTTATGACCGAATTCTAGTCGGTGACGAGAAGAAGAGAACATGAATTATTATGCAGACAAGGGAAAATGCTCATGAATAAACACATAAGCGAGGATCAGGATTTTGGTCTTCTGATATAATAACAGAATAACAAATGTGCGCGTGCAGCAGCTGCACAGTAATTAA